TCGGTGTTGATAGGCTGGATTTCAAGCCCACGACGGAGAGGAGGAGGATTGTGCCAAAGAGAATGTTGTTGGCGAACAAAATGCTGGAGGACGAGAAGAAGAGGCTGGAGGAGCTGGAGAAGAGGCAGAAGGAGCTGGCGGCCAATAAGCAGAATCTAGATGTTTCTAGCTCGGCTCCCATTGCTGTGGCTTGAGCAAGAATGTGGTGATTGCTTGTAGTCGGGTGTACGATATATACTAGCGGTGTTTACGCGCTCATTGACACGCCGTGACCACGGTCACGTGCATCTGGGCGCTATCTGGGATGGGGCCGCTGCCGTCAGTGCTTCGTCTCGAACAACACCACCATGCAGACCAAAAGTCGGACCGTCGAAGGGGAGCCCCCTTACGGGATACCGAGGAAGAACAAGTTGACTCGAAATCAAAGGCTGTTCAGGGCAATCGCGGCCTTGGCGATTGGGAGTACGCTGGGTATCCTTGGGCACGGACCCTGGACGCGTTCATGGAGATCGTACGGGGAATCTGTGCAGTTGGCCTCTAATGCTTACTTGGATCCAGCCGAGGAGTGGAAAGACGACGTTTGGCCGATACGGGAGCAGACACCATGGGATATCTCTACCGACTATCCGTACCCGCGGAAGCTTGGCTACGATGTCGAGGAAGGCACTTGGTTGCGATTGGACGTTCATCCGAAAAGCGGAGATATTGTCTTTGACATGCTGGGAGACATATATTGTCTTCCAGCTGCTGAATATACGCGGGGGGATCACGTTCGGCCGACAACTGCCAGGGCTGTACTTACGGGTGTACCGCACGACAGCGACCCGCATTTCTCCCCAGATGGAGATAGGATTGTCTTCAGAAGTGACGCTGAACTTGGACTCGAAAATATCTGGGTAATGAAGTGGAGTTCGTGCGAAGACATGGACGTCCGCTCATCGACACGCGGGAAGGAGGAATTGCTGGAAGCTCTCGTGTTAGGCGACAAAGACGCTGACATACTCGCGAAAGGCATCCAGGAGACCGCTGAGCGCAAGAGAAGACGTCTGCTGCGGGAAGGCCGTCTAGGCGGTGAGCTGTACGCTACTGACATCCGGGCGATCCTGATTTCCGGGAGTAGCTCGTAGGGTCACCAATGAGACGTACCGCTGGGTATCAGATGCCCGATTCCACCCTTCGGGAGACAAGGTCGTTGCCACCAAGTGGTATACGTCGGAGAGAAGCTTGGGCGCCGGAGAGGGTTGGGAGTACTCTGTTCCTGATCTTACCGATGATGCTAGGACTACTGCCGTTGAAGCCGGCGCCGGTAAAAGGCTTGTAGGCCGCACACTTCCAGCCGGATGGACATCTGCGCAGTACGGCGAACAACAAATTGGGCCCGAGCAGTTCATTTGGAGAGGAAATGATGCTCTCGTTTACGCGAAGAATGTGAAAGATGTCGACGGTGCGTATACTTATAGCAAAGGTAGTAGATTTATCGTTCATACGAGTTGCTCAGCCTCATGAGACTACCTTGCAGATGCACACACAGGCATATATGCCATATTCTCTCGCAATTTGACCACAAATGCAACAGAGACTTTGGTTGATTCCTCCCCAGGTGGCGCCAGTCGCCCAGAGCTCTCCAGAGACGGAAGGACCTTGGCATTCGTCCGCCGCGTCCGTGACAAAGAGGCTCTCGTGCTGAAGTACACATTTATCACTTATCCCCCACATACAATGCTCATCTGATCTTTCACCAGAGACCTCCTCACAGGAACGATCCGGAATATCTGGCATGGTCTGACCTACGACCTGTCAGTCATCTCAGCGCCCATGGGCACCTATCCTTCCTTCGCTTTCACTCCCGCCGATGACGCCATCATTATCTGGGCCGCTGGCAAGATCTGGCGCGTTTCTGTAGCCACCAATTCCGATGGCGAGAAGGTCGCGGCTGGGAGCCCTGAGATCATACCGTTCCGTGCACACATCGAGAAGCGTCTGGCAGAGACTGTCACGGCTAACCCGGACATCCTGAGACTTGAGTCAGGCGACGCACAAAGGGCTCATGCGTTTAAAGAGCTTAGCGTCGACGAAAGTGGAGAGAAAGTCCTCTTCTCGGCGGCTGGCAAAACCTACGTCCAAGTCGTTGGGTCAGATGAAGATGCGGTGCAAGTACCCGCTCTAGAGGAAGCTGCACCATACTACTCTCCGTCATTCGTCCCGGGCCACAATGACCTGGTCATCCACGCCCGGTGGTCTGATGTTAACTTCACCACCTTGGAACTGGCAAACTTGACTTCCGGCCAGGCATATGCGTTTTCTGGATTGCCGAAGGGCCGATACTACGCTCCTGTGCTCTGTGAATGCCCTGGGTCGAGTAGACAGATTGCGTTCATCAAAAATACTGGAGATTTGCTCACTGGGGATATTGTTGCGACTGCTGGCGCCGGTCTGTATCTCGGGAATATTGACCTGCCATTTGGGCCGAGTGCTGGTGATATCGAGATCAACAATGTGCGCCTCGTACCTTCTGAGATCGAGCTTGACGACAAGATCAAGATGAGGTTCCTCGAGAAGAATACGAAACTACTCGTGCAACAGACGAACAAGGCAGTCGTCATTGAGCTGGGTGCTGGTGCCGACGAACTGGGCAAGTACCAGCATAAGACGATTGCTACGGGGAAGATGTCTACAGAGGTGGCCGTCTCGCCTAGTCTCGCGTTGGGCAAGGCTGCTGGACATGGCATCGCTATCGTCGATTTCTTCCATGTATATGTTGCACCGCCTACGGAGGACGAGGTGTGGAGCAAGCCATCTCAGGCAACGAAGGGGCTTGCTCGTCTTAGCCTCGATGGCGGCCACGATGTCACCTGGAGTCGTGATGGGAGCAGGCTCTTCTGGTTCCTTGGTACGGATATTGCGGTAGTCTATTGCGAACCTTCCTCACTAGCTTGCCAGGCCCATTCCTGCACACGATCGAAGTCTCGAAGCTGGACAACTGCGAGTCCGAGATTGCGAAGGATAGGCTGAACTTCGGCCTTTCGTGCACGCACGAATTCGTGGAATATCAAGAAGTCTTCGTGACGTACTCTACGGATATCAAGCGCTTGAAGCAGGAAGCCAGCATGTCCTCAGCTGGTGATCCTCAGAATAGAGACGTCCTCGCAATCACAAATGCCACTATTCTGACCATGCGCGGTAACTCCTTGGCGACTGACCTCATTCCGAACGGCGTACTGGTTACCAGAGGTGGTGTTATCGAGACCATCGGTTCTGCTGCAGTTGTCAATATACCCTTGCATGCAACCACCATAGACGCGGAAGGAGGTACGTGGGCTCTACCCAAGCCAGCGACATGATCCGAGTTTTCCTACAGGTTTGGTGGTTCCTGGCTTTATCGACGGTCATGCTCACTGGAATGGATATGCCAATCGATATCCTGCAAATTCGTGGGAGCTCGAGACATTCCTTGCCTACGGCGTTACGACTTTGCACAAGTAAGAACCCGGTATATTTCCCGGGCGCCTCGTGACGCTTACAATATCACTCTCCCAGCCCCAGTTCAGATACCGTGCTCGGATATGACGAACGCAACCGCCTGGAGAGCGGCCAACTCGTAGGACCGCGGATTTACCACGTCGGCGACGTTATCTACGGTGCCGGTGCGCCCGGTATACATCAAGATATAGTTGACCAGGCAGAAGCTTACTCTGCGCTCGTGAGGATCAAGGCAGAGGGTGGTCCTGCAAGTTTCTCCTACAAGAACTACAACCAACCATCTAGGTGAGTGTTCTACTAAGGAACTCCACTTCCCAGTGCTAGAGCACAAGACTGACTCCACTGTTAGGGCGACACGGCAGAGGTTGCTGTTAGCTGCGCGTAACCTGTCCATGATTTGCGTACCGGAAGGTGTACGTATCAGATGACGTGCTTGCGCCCAAGTGCTTCATATTCACATCTGCACTAGGGCATGAACCAGGAATGGGATCTGACATACATAATCGACGGTACGTGTCGGTGCATCCATAGCGACCAAGTGCTTATTCTGAGAGCAGGGATGACGACCATCGAACATGCACTTCCCGTTCCTCTACTGTATGATGACGTGCTCACGCTTTACGCACTGAGTGGAACGGCCTCTACCCCCACGCACATAGTTAACTATGGTGGGGCTTGGGGTGAGCAATATGTCTGGGCGAACGAGGATGTGCCCAATGATCCCAAGTACGTATCATGAAATGCTACTGCAGTTCGCATTTTCATGCATACATAAAGGCTCCGTCGATTCACCCGCCACGATATCTTGGAGTCTCTGACCGAATCCACGGCCCGACCCTTGAACTGTATGTAGTCCTGTTACGTACCACTGATAGCTAAACTAACAACGACATAGCCTACCAGTTCTTCAACACCTCCGCATCGATCGCGAAGATGGTACACCAAGGTTTGCACGCGTTAATTGGAGCACATGGAGAGCCTCCACTAGGCTTGAACTACCACGCCGAGATATTCTTCACTCAGCAAGGTGGTCTTACAAACTACGAGGTCCGTAGATTCCACTGATCCAGCCTTCATACCTCGACTGATATCTCCCGGTCCGTAGGCTATTCGCGCAGCAACCTCCGACGCCGCCAAAACGCTCGGCTTATATTCTGCACTTGGTTCCCTTGAGAACGGCAAACTCGCAGATTACGTTGTCTACCCGCCCGATGTGGATCTACTTGAGAGTGACATCCGGGAAACCAGAAATATACGGTACGTAGCCAGAGGAGGTCGCCTATGGGATGCGTCTACTATGGTCGAGATATGGCCTGTGACTGGTCGCAAGTCTCAGATTCCACCCGTGAATCCAGAGTAAAGCATAGTACTTGTCATATATCCCGATGTCATGAGGATACGGCTTCCATGCTATGATCAGTATATAATCAGAGCGTCTTCTTGCTTAAGAGCACTTTCAGTGGCGGACTCATTGCCGGGGTGATTAACGTTATAACATTTTGAATGCAACTTAATTTACAGCCCGCCTAGCTCAATTGGCCAGAGCGTCAGACTTTTACGGCCTGATCTGCGGGTTAAGATGAAATCTGAAGGCTGCGGGTTCGACCCCCGCGGTGGGCTAGTCGTTTTGGCCTTCGCCTCTTTCTGTCCTGTGAAGGTTTGACCAACAGATTGTATCGTACATCGCAGCTGTGGATGACAGTTTCGTCTCAGCTGTACGGGACAGGATGAGAACTATCAGTACTCTCGGTCCAGGCATATCCTATATTGACCTCAGTCTGACTTCCTACAATTGTGCCCCCGTTATTCTAGCGCACTATTTTGAAGCGGGTTAACTGATCATGGTTGCCTACGTAGGTAGGGCGGTCCTCTGAGTAGTCATATGTATGATAGTACTCTGATAGAAGATTAACTGGACAGTCGACTCCGCCGTACGGCGCTCAGAAGTGAGCTGCTACGGCGAACCATAAACTAGCCGCCCAACATCAGATTCTCCATATCACAAACAGTAGACTGGGGTATATTTCCTAGATGTACAGTAGCTTACACAACGCGCACAGCCTCTTTGTCAATGTCCTACAACAATCGGCTTCGTCTTGCTCAACCCCGCAATAGTTTGATCCGAAACGCCGAGATGGGCTTTGACCAACTCCGGCGGTGTTAATGCAAGCCACTGTAATTTGTTGTGAGCCCTAGGTTCACGCAAACCTAAAGGGCGAATGGTGCCTACCTGGTTGAGACTGATGTCCTGGAAACGATCTAGAAGGAATAATACACGTCAGTTCCAGGTTCCTTCTATAAGGGTATAGCAGTCTACCTGTCTTGAGAATCTCCAGGAGCTTGAGGGTAGTGTTACCCGTGTTCTCAATATAGTGACCTGTACGGATGGAGCTTCTGTCGCTGTTCAGAATCTTTTAGTAAGAGATCACTTACCGTACGCGGGTGGAATGTATGCAATATCTCCGGCCTGATAGTCGAATGTCCTGGCGTTGCCTTCAGCCGCGAAGAGGGTGATGCGTGCAGTGCCTTCCCTTAAAAACCGCTCAGTTCGCAAATCTAAAGCTCCTCTTAACGCAGCTCACAGGAAGAATGTCCATTCAGGCTGAGTCGGGTGCCACTACAAATAGAACGTTATCCACATTGCTCGTCGAGAAATAGTTAGATACTCACGTGTAGCTCCCTCATCCCTCTCGGCTGCACAGTCACCTCAGCAACTGCAATGGTCTTCGACACTTTGAACGTCGTGGAATCTACGATCTTCACCGTGCCGCCTTCCAACTGTCTTGGCTTCACCTGTGATAGCCTGTAGGTGAATGGCTCCGGGACCTGGCCTTGAGGGTCCTCCACAGCTTGGCGGCCGGCAGGAGGAGGGTCTGTCATCGATCGCGTCAGTAGCACATTGGATGAGCGAGATCGTGACCTACTACTAGGGAAGATGTAAAGTTCATGATCAGGGATATGGCCGAACGCAGAGATGGGCATCTGGAAATTCTTGGCGATGACTTCCTTTGGTATATGAGCAAGCCAATCTGTGAGCTAAAGAGGGAACAAGGTTAAGGAAGATTTTATAAGCGAAGATTGCAATGCGCACTAGGAAGGTCGAATCTTCGCTGAAGAACCCATTGTCGAATACCTAAGATGTGTGAAATGTTAGTATGGTATACCCGGTTCCAGCTTTGAATAACGGTACCAATAAAAATTCAGCTCCTTCAGGATCGTCTGCAGTTGCTTGCAGGGAGTGCGGGACGCCAGGCGGGAAGTACCACAGATCACCTGCGTTCTATAAGACAAGTAAGTACGGAGGACTCAAGGAATGTTGAAGTTCAGGGTCTTACTATGGTAGCGAGGTAGTTCTGACCGTCTGCATCTATGGCGGAAACTTGCATCGAGCCCTTCAAGACATAGGACCACTACAATAGCGACGCATTCAGACCTTTAACCAATGCGACGCATATACCAGCGCTCTAAGTCTTACCTCGGCGCTTGTGTGCCAGTGCAGCTCACTGTTAGTGTATAATGAGCATCGGTGATTCAGCCGGCAGTACAGGTATGCCGTATTACCGAATAGCCCCAGCTTCGAGCCTCATGTCCACTCCAGCGATCTCTTTTGCGATGGGCATCTCGTTCACTGGTAGCGGGACATGAGTGAAGAACTAGTGAGCTCTTAACACCCATTGTACGTACCATTTTGTTGGCGAGCCCACCCCCCGGTCTGGAGACGACTGTGGCTGAGAGCGAATGGCCATTTCGCATTCATCCTAATAACGATGAACGATGTCAGTATCAGTGTCGGCAATGCCAGATTTTTGGAATGGCAGACTGACACGTCGCCATGAGCGGTCGCAGGAGATGCAAGTAGATCAGGGTTCTCCTTGGCACTGTGACATCATGAGAGTCATATTGGTTAAAAAGAAGAATATGCCAACAGCTTACTTGGAACGTTATGAGGACCAAGGATATTCGCGCCCAGCTTGCCTCTGATAGGCTCCGGCGTAGAGTCGATGGTGTCGTTCCACAGAGGATAGTTCGGATCATCGCTCGCATAGGGGACAGTCGGACTCCCTTGAGCTACTGAGCTTGTCGATGTCCCAGTGGCCGCAGGTGCGCCGTATGCATAGGCCGCTAGAGCTAGGAGCATGTGCGAAGCAGCGAGCTTGACCATACCGCGATCGATAGCTCTAGAGAGAGGTGAGTATCGAGGCAGAGAGAGAGGAAAGAGGAATGGAGTGTCTTTGGAATTTCGGCGAGCCTTTTGTACAAAAGCCTCATCTGCGGCTGACGAGGGGCTAGCACTGGCCATCGTTCGGCAGGTTACTCAGGTAATCCCTGCCAAGCACTGTCAGCCGCATACTCGCGAGGAATGTGCACGTCAGCCATGTCAGCCAGCGGTCAAGATATTAACGAGTTCACCGATGCGCACACCAGCAAGTCTTGGAGACGCACCAACAACCGGATGGATGATAACGTGATGTGATATAAGTGTGAACAGGTGATACAAGGCGAGGAGGGAAAACCAGGAAATGGAGATACCGGAAACACTAAGGAAGCAAGACAATTACATACAAGACTATGAGGGGAATGCTTAATCTTCTGACTTCTTCGGCTTTTTCTTTGGAGGCTCATCCTCCTCTTCTTCCTTAGCTTTGGGCTTGGCTTTGGGCTTAGGCTTAGGCCTCGACGTAGAAGGCTCATCGACATCCATCGAGTCATCCTCGGTTTTCTTCGGCATTGGCATAGGCGCAGCCTTCTTCTTGGGCTTGTCCTCGTCTGCATCGCTCTCCTGTGCCTTCGCCTTCGCCTTCGCCTTTGACTTCTTGCCCGTGCCACCCTCCTTGGCCTTACCTTTACCTTTGGCTCCCTTGGGCTTGATGAAGTCCCTGTCGCCGCTCGCGTCTGACGCAGTTGCGGCGCCTTCCTCATCGGAATCGCTCTCGGATGGAGAGCCAGAGTCGTCGCCTGATATCGCATAATCCTCATCTAATTCAAGAGTTAGAAATAGATGCGTAGACATTCGATGCTGCACGCACCTTCTGAGCTCTCGGAGTCTCCACCACGTGTCTTTACAACCTCATCACCACTACCAACACTCGCCATCTCCTCGTCCTCATCATCCTCGTCGACAGCGCCAGCAAGGAGATCGACATCCTGTAACATCTCGTTCTTGACGCGCACCTTCTTGTCCTTCAGATATGCTTCCGTAGGTTCATGTTCTTCCTTGTTGATGGACGAGAACGTGTATTCTGGACCACTCTTGGTGACCACTTGGAGATCGAAAGTCCTAGCAGCCATCCCTTGGCCGAGACGGGAGAACACTACTTGGTGGATATCGCTGAGCTCGATGAGGACAGGTGACTTGGACACGAAAAATATATATTTCTCGAGGATGAAAAGGTCGCCCTGCACGGCCTTCAGATTGGCCTTGATGCCTGGGTGACCGTCTCGACTGCGTGCAGATGAGTTAAACCTTGTTCAAGGAAACTGGGTGGACACGACTTACCTTGAGAAACTGCCGGCACCCACGATCTTCTTCTTCGACAAAGCACGGAAGACGCTGGATACCACTTCAAAGGTAGGATCCTCGTAGCTCTTCTTTAGGCGGTCATGTTGGGCAACCTCCTCCCTACGAACGAAATACTGAGTTGAGTAGAATCAAGAGAATGACAGGTACGCACTCGGTCATGTTGAGCTCGGCCGTAATCTCCTCCTCCCGACTAAATTGCATGACCAGATATTGATATCTAGTCTGCCCTTGCCGTATGGGAGTGCTAAGGGCCAACTTTAACCTGTCAGATAGGGCTCTAATGCACTTTGACGAAGAACCTACGATGAAGAGAACTTGGAGGTCATCCTTTGGTAAGAGAAACAGCCGAGAGACACTCGAGTAGAGTATCTTGTAGTCGTACGTTTTGCCACGCAGTCGCAGATAGTCTGGGTACATGTCCACATCGTACCGGCCCCTGGGCGTCAGAACCAGGACCTCGTCGAACGTGACGATCATATCTCCCGCGACTTCACCCAGTTCCGCTTTCTCCTTTACAGAGTCGTGGAAGGCCTGGGCAGCGCTCATCTCCTCTCCTTCGTCCTCCGCATCTGACTTTTGTGAGCCATCCTCGGAGGTACGGCCACCTTTGGTGGTTGTGCCGGGGATATAGAAGCGGATTTCCACCATCTCATCTGGTGCACGCTTGCTTGGTTTCTGATCCGAAGGAGCAAATTCCAGGGAGACTTCCGTGCGGCCAGCGATGTTAGAGTTCGCGACTTGCTGCAGTGGCAGTTCGAAAGCAGTCTTATTAGAGACCAGGAAGGCGAGATCCTGTCCTAAAGAAAAAAGAGAGGTGAGACTGCCGATCGGAACTCATGCAGGCGCGATAGCGCACCTTGAACATCCGCGACGCCCCAATTCCATCCCTTGAATGTGACATCCTTCGTCTCCAGAGTGATGCCAAAGTGCTGCTTCATAAGACCGGCAACTTTATCGTGATCCTGGAACCGATCTCAGATCAACTCATTCCCCCGCGCAGATAAAAAACTTACCTCTCTCATGAATCCGTCAAAGGTCTCCCTTTTCCTGTCCTTCAAGCCCACTCGGAGCTGAAAGTTCCGCGCAACACGTAACCACT